CTGGGCGTCAGGCTGAAAGGGGGGCTTGGGGGGGGCCTGCCACATCTCGGTCTCCCCGGCCCATGGATCACCGTGGGGGGAGCAGGGGGGCCAACACTGGCTTTGGAGCATGGTGCAGAAGCCTCTGCCCGACGGCCAGGTAGGGTTCTCTGCGAAGCTGCTGGCTCGAAGCAGCGTACCCCTAGCAGCAAAGCACCGTGTCAGCAGTCCAAGCCCCTAAACCCGGCATTTGCACAAACTAGAGCAGTTCCAAGAAGAGACACCAAGGCAAAGCCTCTCCACAGGCTCTGCAGCCCAGGTCTGCAGCAGCAAAAGATGCAACAGAAACTCAACTCGAGCTCCATCGAGCGTCTGCTCCGTCTCCTCAGCTACAGGGCAGAGTGGGAGAGATTCACCCTTGCTCATTCTCTTTTGCAGGTGTTAAACACCAGGAGAAGACTCACAACCAGAGGCCAGGGGCAGCAATAGCGGTCTCCCTTTTTGGGGCCACTCAGCTCCTTTTTCCCTCTCCTTTCCACTCCTGACTCCTTTTCCCACTTGAACAATTCTCGGGGGAGGGTGGTGGGAGTGGTAGCCTGCCCGTAGGAGACTTTTTGGACACCCTTTGTGGCTGCAGCTGGGACGGACCTTACTGATTCCCAGCTGCTTCTCGGGTATATCATGAGCCCTTGGTAGATGTTAGTTGCCCCCCCTCGCCGTCTGCTCTGTCAGCTGCCTAGGACAGCGGCTCCCTCACCCCGTCCCACCGTAATGAGCTGGAGTAGGTTTAATTGTTTAGAAAGCAGGTTCCTGGCAGCAGCCCAGCTCATTTTGACAGCACCCATCCAGGGAATGCTCCCCCGAGCGACTTGGCTGTCAGCCCCGCGGGCTTAACGAAGCACGATGGCAGGCAGCTGCAGCGGAGCAGGCGGGGGACGGAAACCCCGTCCCAGCTGCTGCTAGAAGAGGACACACGGACAAGCCCTGAGAAACGGGCTCGGGGGTACGGAGCAGTCCCCACGAGGCTGGAGCTGCGCGCCCCATCCCATGCCTGGTTGGAGTGTCAAAGCCTGAGCTTTTCTTCCATTGACCCCTGCCGCACTGCGAGCAGGTGTGTTCCCCCCAGCCGCTAACCCCTTTGCCTGGAGAGTGGGTTCTGCCACCTCAGTCATTGCTTGCGTTCCCCAACTGACAGCAGCAGCCTCTAAGGAAAATTACATCTGTCCCATTTCTTCAAAACTCTTTATTTTTAGAGTGTTCACAAGCTCTGGGCAGTTGCTCC